TGCGGCTAGACACCACAAGAGACAATGCCCAAAGTTTAAACCAAATGACAAACCTCAGACACAAAACTCCAAACAAGGCGCAACCAGAACAGAATCGACAGTCCCCTCTAAAAAACTCTGACTCTATCGTTACTCCGATCAATGTTCAACAGCTTCAAAATTATTTAGCTGGATATGACCATTCTATATCGCAGTTTTTAATAGAAGGCTTTTCTCAAGGTTTTAAGATCCCATATATGGGGGAGCGTAAATTTAGGTTTTCTCGTAACCTATCTTCTATCTTAGGCAAAGAAAAAATATTACAGGACAAGATTTGTAGGGAAATCGAAGCTAAAAGAGTCTCTGGTCCTTTTCTATTGCCACCTTTCCAAAATATTCAAATTTCCCCCTTAGGTCTAGTCCCTAAAAAAGCCCCTGGGGATTTTAGGTTAATCCATCATTTGTCTTACCCGGAAGGGAACTCCATCAATTCCCACATCCCCAAAGAAATGACTACAGTAAGTTACCAATCAATTGACACAGCCATTGCAATCATCAAACAAGTTGGCAGGGGGGCTCTTCTCGCAAAAACCGATCTGGAAAATGCCTACAAACAAATACCCATACATCCACGGAATTTTGAACTGCTAGGTTTCATGATATCTGGGTCATATTATTATGACAAAACACTTCCATTTGGCTTGAGTTATTCTTGCCATCTCTTTGAAAAGTTCAGTTCAGCTTTGCAGTGGATCTTAGAGAACAAGTTCGGTGTAACTTATTGCGTGCACATACTAGATGATTTCCTTTTTGTGGGTCCCCCCAGGTCCCCAGACTGCTATAGCTCACTTTTAGCATTCTATTCCCTTGCCAAAGATATCAATCTCCCTATCAAATCCGAGAAAACTGTTCACCCAACTACCACCTTGACATTTTTGGGGTTGGAATTAGACACATTAAAATTGGAAATTAGACTTCCTGCTGATAAGTTGCAGCGTTTAAAATCTGAAATAAAATCATTCCAAAATAAGCGCACCGCTTCACTCCGCCAACTGCAGTCATTGATAGGTACTTTAAATTATGCTTGCGCAGTTATTCCCCCTGGACGCACATTCCTTAGGCGGATCATCAATCTTACTCGAGGTTTGCAAAATCCTTCTCATCATAGGAATCTAGACAAAGAAGCCCGAGCCGATTTGAGAGCATGGGCCATTTTCCTGGATCATTTTAACGGCAAAGCCTTTTTCCCCTCAGGGGTGCAACACACATCCTCCTCTTTGCACTTATTTACTGACGCTAGTAATTTGGGGCTCGGCTGTACTTTTGGTAGGAAATGGTTCTATGCTCCTTTTCCTACTCAATGGGTTGATTTTCACATCTCAGTCAGGGAATTCCTGCCTATTGTGATCGCTTTCGACATATGGGGACACTTATTTTCTAACAGCACTGTTATTCTGCACTCTGACAACCTAGCAGTTGTTCATGTCATCAACAAAAACTCTTTTTTTTGTTACTGTTATATTTTCGGGGAGATTGCCAAACAACATAAATGGAACTCGTTAATTTACTTACCTCGTCATTGGTCATTTGCAAAATTATTTTGTTAAAACAGATTCTGATTGCACACATAAGTACTCATCAAGTTGACGTCAAGAATGTACTTGAGTTTCTTATTGACTTATTTTTATATTCATATGAAGCAGAATTTATGCAAAATCTTAATTTTGCGTGAAAAGAAGAAAACACTTGCTTTGGCCTTCAACTCGACATTTAAATATATCAACGACATATTGTCAGTTAATAATGGCAATTTTCATTCATACGTCGATAAGAAATATCCTAGTGAGCTTGAGATAAAAGATACCTCAGAGTCCGACACTTCTAATTCATACTTGGATATTTTACTTGAAAAAGACACTAATGGTAATCTAAAAACCAAGCTATATGATAAACGTGATGACTTTAACTTTTTTATCGTCAACTTTCCTTACTTATGCAGCAATATACCTTCATCACCTGCATCCGGAGTATATATATTGTTACGACTAAAGTCAAGTTCTTTTAGATTCTTTATTTTTAATTAAATATTAAATTGGCAATGAGCTACAAACAAACAAAAATATATACACACATTACCAATAGAACACACAAACAAAAATAAAATAATTAATCAGCATATCAAGTTAAATTCAAACACATACCACCAAAATATGGCGATGCCTCACCCGGTCACTCATACATGAAAAGAGTTATGATACACCGCGTGTGTGGTCTCTACATTGAAATAAATAATATACCGGTATTTATTATATAAACGATAAAAGGATATAATATCTAGTATAATTCAAGTTAAATAAAACACAAGAATAACACCATTCTTACCGTAACAAGCATCACTCTCAAACTCGAACACGTTCCATTCATAAATAGGGGCGTCAGCACAGTGAGTATAAATAAATTACTTGACAAACCAGTTTAAATCTTAGAAATTTACTCAAAAAAATAATAATTTTATAAATTCAAATCACTGCACTGAAAATTAATAAAAAAATAGAAAACAACTAAATGAATATTCAAATAGAATTTTAATAAAGTTTTTAATTATATAATCTCTAAATAAAATTAAATACCTGGTGCAAGGACAGATATTCTATAAATAGACTGTCGGTTATATAAAGTATGGTGCGCGCTTCGCGTTCTTTGAATATGCGCAAAATCAACCGTTACAATATCTCAGTTGATTCGATATGCAAGAGGATGCTCTATGAATGAACAATTTCTAAAACGAGGTAAATTATTGACCAGAAAGTTAATGAAACAAGAATATCAGCAGTCTCGTTTAACGTCATCATTTCTTAAGTTCTATGGTCGATACAATGACCTTGTCAACAAATTCAATTTATCATTAAGTCAAATGCTGACTGACGTTTTTCATACCAATTGTTAATCCATTATTTATACACTGAATTGACGACGGATTTTTTTCCGTTATTTCCTGATCATGACAAGGAACACACGGCGGAAGTTATCGGTCGGCAGGGATACTCACTCCTCCATGGCACCTGATCCCACCTCTGATGTTTCGGGGGTCCGTGTTTGCTCTACTCTTATTTTGTATTGTTTTATGGACTTTGAGACTGAATACTGTTCGATATTTCTATATCTTTCTTGCAAAAATTGAGTTGCACACCAACACATTTGCTACGCATGCTAACAAGAATATTTTGTATGTTACCAAAAACTAAATACCTTTCAGGAAAACAGTTTTACCGGTATATTGCTTTCTTGCATGATAAATATCAAATACTTGCATAATGAAGTACATTTTTTCAGTTAAATTCAGATTCTCAAATTCAACTTATTTTTTACCTATATAAATGAAACATATCTAAACATATCACTAAAGAATATTCAAGATCAAAACCCCTTTATACAATTCAAATTAGGAGCTGATCAAACACGGAGCTTCAATACGTCGAAGGTGGGATCATGTGCCATGAAGGAGTAAGCATCCCCTGCTGACCGGTCACACCCGCCGAAGGATATGGAGATAACGAACAATATTCAATATCAAAGTCCATAAAACAATTCAAAATTGGAGCAGAGCAAACACGGGCCTCCGAAACATCAGAGGTGGGATCAGGTGCCATGGACAATAAGTATGAAAAACGTCAGTCAGCATTACACTCAATGATAAATTGTTTTTGCTGATAAGGTCATTGTATCGACCATGGAGCTTACGATATGATGACTTTAAACGAGACAGTTGAAATTCTTGTTTCATCAACTTGGTTGTCAATAATTTACCTCGTTTTAGAAATTGTTCATACTTAGACGTTCTCTTGCGTATCGAATGAGCATGCTCTTGCGTATTGAATAAACTAATATATATAAACTCCGTATGAAGGCGACGAAGGTATATTGCGGCACAAGCAGATCATCACGTTTATCATAGAAAACTTGGTTGTTAAATTACAATAAAAATAATGTTTGTACTAAGAGTATGCTCTTGCAGATTAACTTGAATACACAACATAAATGCAAAATAATACTAGTAGCTGATATAAATATATAAGTTGATATACATTCCAAGCTAACAATTTTCTGTGTGAACTCTCTTTTCTATTTATGCTTTAAGTGTTGTACACTTGATTTCTTAACTATATCAAGTATACAAGATAGTGTCGTCAAAACAAATTTTAGAAACTAAGAATCCAAGCTGTTTCTAGATACTAGATATGGATTCTAGTTAATCTCTCCTCCAGATAGAGGACACTTAAAATGAAGGCGATTTTTCATAAAATGGATTCGATGTGATAAACATCAATTTCAGAAAATAAAGCAGCATGTCTTATCTTTGTTCCATAAAAATGCCTGATATACCTTTTTTAATGAAGTATTTCTTCAACACACATTTAAAGAAAAATTCATGTCTTTTGGAAATATGTTTTTCTTAATATAATCATACAACTCACTAATATTGATTTATGCTGACATGTTTATTGATAATTTGCCTCATATGTTATTTTGTTATAAAGTTAATACACAGCTTTTATGTAAAAGAAATAAATTATACCATATGAATAAATATTTAACGATTTTGTTTCAGACAGTGACTAAATCATACAACAAATCACGGATGGCAATCATGGCAACTGTTTTGCGTATATCTGATTAATTAATCCAGCTGCAAAATTTTAACACAAACATATAAGTAAAAGAGTCAAAATTAATTTAAAATATAAAACTATATTTGTTTAGATATCAATCGATGTAACTGGATATGATAAAATGAAATTAATATAAGTTGAAAACAGAGAAACAAAAAATATAAATGATGAATATTTTGCACGTAGAGATTGAGTATTGACTAATTGAGTTCTCATTAACTGTTAGGTAAACAATGGTTGACGATTCTATTGTTTTAATCGGCGGTAATCTTGACAACAGTGATATTTGGTGGATTGGTTCTTATTCTATCAATAAATATTATCGCAGGTATAAAGTGATGCTTTGATAAAGCACTGATCAACGTGAATTTCAGTTCCTAAACAAGAACTTGTAATACTAGACATCATATTGTAAAAGGAGATTTAGATTGTTGAAAAGGTAAGGATAATATGACATACCATCTTTTTCGGTGACATGATATTTTTAGTTGTAATATCAGTATTAATTATGGGTTTGAATTATGAAAGAATTGAAAGTTTGTGTTGCATTGTTTTGCTTGTGTTTGCTTATTTTAGATGGCCAGACATTTAATTCAAGTTTTGATGACTATTCTTATTTTCAAAGAATTCCATATTAAAGGTATCTGATGAATAATAAATTATTATCATTAAGATATAATTGGCATTTGAAAGATATACTGAAAAGCAAAAATGCAAGAAGCAGTAACTTACAGATGATTGATTTTTCATCTCGTGATTTTCGAAAATAATACAGAAAGGTAACACTCGATTTAGAAAGATCACAGATTTGATATAAATGTTTAAGTGATTATCGGTACTTTTTAGAAAAAAAACTCATTGCTGTTAAAATTCCTCTTCCCCCACCATTCAGATACAGTGAATTGCATCTTGATTTCTCAATGCAGTAGGTTCCTCAGTCTCAAGATATAAAGTATTTTTTGCCATTTCAAAATGTTTGTTTTTATTATGATGAGGTCGAATTTTCTCCAACCTAGGAGATAAAGTTTAATTTCGACAATGGCATAAAACATTATTCACCCGTTAAATTACCATTATTTACAAAGTTGAAGATGTCGTTGCTCTCAAATATAAAATTATATCCTTTATATGATATTTTCCATTGAAATAGGAGGTTACCGTTTGTTTGTTTGTTTGTTTGTTTTTTTGCTTTTCAGTATATATATAAAAATGCTTAATTCAATAATAATACAAATATTGTTTTTGAAAAGTATAAATCAGACAATTTAAATCATAAAATGTACATAGTTTAATGAATATCAACAAAAAATACAATCTTTTTTACATTTAAAAGATTATATTATATTTGATACATCTTCTCACATTATAAAAACAGCAACGAAACCATTGTTTTCATCATCAACAAATTCACAACCAGGCTTTTCTTTGAAAGGACAAGCAGATAATATAATGATATCAACACCAATCATATCATCAAAGCAAGAAACATCGATGACAAATACATCATCAACGCCAGAAACAACAACAGACAACACATCATTAACACAAAAAACAACAAAAACAACAAATGCATTATCAACTCCAGAAACAACAACACTAAACACACCATTAACACAAGAAACAACAGAAACAACAAATATATTATCAACTCCAGAAACAACAACAGTAAACACATCATTAACACAAGAAAAAACAAAAACAACAAGTACATTATCAACGCCAGACAGAACAACACAAAACATATCATTAACAAAAGAAGCAACGACAAAAACAACAAATACATTATCAACTCTAGAAACAACGACAGAAAAAATTTTATCAACACAAGAAACAACAAAAACAACAAGTACATTATCAACGCCAGAAATAACAACACAAAACATATCATTAACGCAAAAAATAAGGAAAGCAACAAATACATTATCAACGCAAGAAACAACGACACAAAACATATCATTAACACAAGAAATAACAAAAACAACAAATACACTATCAACTCCAGAAACAACAGCAGTAAACATATCATTAACACAAGAAACAACAAAAACAACAAATACACTATCAACTCAAGAAATAACAACAGTAAACACGTCATTAACACTAGAATCAACAAAAACAATTAATACACTATCAACTCCAGAAACAACAACAGAAAACATATCATTAACACAAGAAATAACAAAAACAACAAATACATTATCAACGCCAGACACAACAACAGAAAATATATCATTAACACAAGAAATAACAAAAACAACAAATACACTATCAACGCCAGATACAACGACAGAAAACATATCATTAACACTGGAAACAACAAATATATTACCAGCGCCAGAAAGAACAACACAAAACATATCATTAACGCAAGAAATAAGGATAGCAACAAATAAATTATCAACGCCAGAAACAACAACAGTAAACACATCATTAACAAACTCAACTATGCACTTTGAAAAATCAGTTACTCCATCTAACACAGCACACTTTCCCTCAGATACTACAGACACAACATTATCATTTACAAAAAACACATCATCAGTTTTAACCAAGCCATCAACAAGTAACCCATCAACAGCATTCATCCTATCATCATCAACTATGATCAGAAGTCCATCATCAACAACGGAAATCATTTCAACAATGGAGAGTTTGTCAAAACTGCCATCTACAAATCCTTCGACAAGTAATCAAATGACAGCGAAACACACTAATAGAACAACATTACAAGCAACGCAGTTAATGCGTAAATCTCCAACAATTCCAATCACAACATCTTCAATACGTTCAACAAGATCATCGACGCTGCAACATTTAGTAACCAGCAGTGCAGTCACCCCTCAAGTCGGTCCTGAAGCAACAACTAGAAAACGTAGGTTGTCTGATTATTTGTTTTTATTTATTTGAAAAACAAAAGTAGTTTTGATTTAATTTCAAATTTGAAAGAAACAATTAATTGTGAGTAGGAATAGCTTTGTCTATTTATGCATAAATTTTGTGTAATTTACATAACATTTTTATATAGTGATAAAAATCATGGGGATTATTCAAGAAATATGACGTTATTCATGAATAGGATTATCACATAAGTAAAAGGTCAATTCATACAGTCTAACCACATTGATATCATTGTTAATTATGCCAATCCAACCAATTACTAATTACTAATCTCGTTTCACCATCTGAAAATAATATGACATTTAATGAATTATATACTTTGTTTGCAGCTACGCCCAAAAACAGAAGTCCAACAATTTTTAGAAATCAGTGGACAACATTCACTTGGACATTCTTATTATTAATATTTAACTGGCTTAATATCTAGTTTTCAGTCTACTTTTATTTAAATTTGAACTCCTAGCTCAAAACAATCTGCATCATTGTTCTAAAATATAACCTTACTGTAATTTACAAACTTTATATGTAAATAATGATTTTGCAGATTTTTTTTCAAAATCATCATCAACAAAATCACCATCAACATCATCGTTATAGTCATATTCAAGAAATATTTTGTATAGAAAATACACAAGACAAATAAAATAATATCCTATCAGTCATTCTACAATTTTGTTTATTAGATGAGATTATACAACTTGATGTTTGTAAAAAATATGGAGATAACGAACAGTAATTAAGCTCAGAAGTCTATAAGAACAATATGATATAACAACAGAGCAAACACAGAGATCCGATCAGGTGCTATGGAGGAGTAGAAATCCCCGTCTGGCTGATCACACTTAGCGTGTGCTCTTGTCATGATCGAGAAATAACGGAAAATCCGTCGACAATTCAGTGTTTAGATAATTATAATTGCCTAACAAATATTATGAAAAACGTCAGTCAGCGTTTTACTAATAATATGATGTATTTGATGACAAAGTCATTTTATCAACCGTAGATATACAAAGTAATGACATTAAACGAGGCTGTTAATATTGTTGTTCCATCAACTAGTTTGTCAATAATTTACCTTTTTATAAAAAAATTGTACATATGTATACTTAGAGCATGATCTTGCATATCGGATTAACTGAGATATTAACTCAGAGTGCAGGTGATGAATGTATATTGCTGCATAAGTAAGGCAAGTTAACGATTGAAAAGTTAAAGTCATCACGTTCATCATAGAGCTTGGTTGTTAAATTACCATTAACGTCTTTTTCAGGTAAAATGTCCAAATATGCAAAAGATGTGTCAGACTCTGTGGTATCTTTTATATCAAGCTCACCAGGATATTACGTATCGACATAAGAATGGAAATTACTATTGTTAATTGTCAATACGTCTTCGATTTATCTAAATGTTGCGTTTAAGGCCAAAACAATTTTTTTTCCCTTTTCACGTATAAGATGATTCTTCGGCATATAAATAAATACCTAAAAAGAAATTAATTGTTCCGATAAATTCTGAAAGACCTAGCACCAGATTTACAACTTGTATTTGAAATTCTTAAAATGAATTCCTAGTCTTAATTTTTTTAAATATTTTCATCAACCCAATTGAATTTGATCTTCCAAAAATGTACTGGATGTACTAGAACTTTATCAAAATCAAAATGCAAAGCAAGTTCAAGGAAATTTTCAAGAAAGCCTTTTTCTTTACTCCTCACTAATAAATGAAGGAGAAACTTTAAGAGATTATATTTGAAAAGTTGTTTAAAAAATTGGATACTTAATCTAAATAAAATTGTACGGTTATAATAGTGATAAAAAAAATGCATAACAGCATTTGAGAAGTGTTAAAAGTTGTAAAATAATCAGAATGAAACAGAAACTGGGCACCTTCTCGTAGCTTCGCCACCAGGCAGAATATTTAGAACAATATTTACAATAGTTACTTCATAGGCGTCGGAACCGGGGGGGGGGGGGGGGGCTAGGGGGGCTCAGCACCCCCCCCCCCACTATTTTTCCAAATAGACACTTAGTATAGACATTGAACATGTCTTCGTAGGTTTAGCCCCCCCCCCCCACTTTCCACAGATATGTCTTAGTATGGGTTAAAAATGGGGAAAGTGGTGATGTTTGGAAGAAAATTTTTGGTACTGGAGTTCGAAACCCCCCCCCCCCCCCCAAAAAAAAATAAGATTTTCAGGTTTGGGAAGTAGACATTTCCATTTCCTTTTTTTTTTTTTTTTTTTGCTTCTCAGGTTTTTTTGAAGGTACAAAATTTTTTTTTTACACTTAGCCCCCCCACTTTCAAATAGCTTCCGAAGCCAATGTACTTGGAATCAATTCTTGTGGCGACATGAAATGTCCAAGTGGGCTTAAAAAGATACTTTTTGGAAATTTTACCTGTACTGCAAAAGACATTAATTGAAATATACAATGTCACGCCATGTAATGTTATGTAACTGCAAAGGTTTACAATAAACGGGATTACTACAATTGTTCAGTTTTTTTAAATCCCTTAATTTTGGAGAGCGGCCTTGTAAATCACATCAGGGATGATTTTCTCTCTTCCTGATTGCTATTAAAAAGTATCTATTTCTATCATTTCTATTATCAAGAAACATTAAACTTCGAATAAGCACAAAACCGCAGCATAATTAGTTAAAAATTATCCTTATCTCATTTTATTTCTTTTTTATTAGAAAAAAAAACCACAGTGTAGCTATAAATATAGTTGAAAAGTGACTAAAACTTAGAAACATGAAGCATAATTTATAGTTTATATTTAAGCTTAAAAAGAGAATGTTAACTGTTGTACGTCCATTATTAAATTCGGCTGAGTTAACCTTAGCAATTTCTTTTTTTCGGGGGGTGAGGGTGAGGGGGAGTTGGAGGCGGTACCAGACTGAGAGAAAAATGTAAAACGCCTTCTTGTGCGTAATTAAGTTGAATAATGAAAGTTTTGTTCACAAGTAAATTTTGGACTTGCCCCCAGCACTTTGTTTGTACCTGATGATACATTAATTTTGAGTAATGTAAAAAAAGTTTGACAGCATTTTTTTCTCGTGCCAATTTGATTTTTGTGTAACATTTTGGAAAATTGATAGTTTCTGGTAAGTGATAAACACAATGACATCACATTATACTTTATTTAACTCTCGGAACGAATAGATCTTGTAGTTAACAATTATAAATTTTTATATAAAAAATACTGTTTCTGTTTCAATTCAAAACTTGCCTTCGGAAAGCTGTAACACAGCTGCTTTAAGCAATTTAAGCAATCATTCTGAGAGTACTGCGTGAGAAATTTTCTACGTGCAATACAACCTGGCTAGAAATTGAAAATGATATAGTTCTGTTAAAAATCAATGAAGCAGAACGAAATGCAAGCTCAAAAAACAAAAAATCACCCCAATATCTTCAAAAAATGCAGAATAAAAACTTGAAAAAAGAAAAATATCATAATTCCGTCAAAAATCTTGCACAGAATGCAAACTTGATCTGTAACTCATATCAAAATGATATCAAACCTCAATTGTTTAAAAATGTAAATAATTTGAAAGTTTATATGATATATATACCATGGTAATATTTTGCTGTTTTAGAACTATCAAGCATATCTAAGCTGTAACTGTGTAGGGCTCATCATGTCCAATAGCTCTCAAAGAAAACTTATGTTACTGTTTTTTGAAAAAAAAAAAGTAATGACTTGGAATTTTCTCAACGTTTGATATAGTAATTTTAGAATCCACATCTAATTTATACCTTTTTTATGATATGCCATGGCCGGAACGTATACAATAGTTAATATTTTTCGAATAGTGAAGAACAGGCTTTGTAGATTCTTTGCTGATTGGTATAATCGCAACACTATATTGGAATAAACATTACATTAATAAGCTTTAATTGATGATTCAGAACAATTATCATGGGAACTCGGAGGTTCCAGAACAAGGCGACACAGCCTGCAGTAGCTCCAATTTTTCCCTTTATCTGTTTCCCAAGCAACGGAACATCGGTTCCTAGGGCAGCAATCAATAGAAGCTATATTAAGATGTCATCATTTTTGTAATCTGCATGAATATGCAGCAAAATCCGTCTCATTCTCATTCCTATGCTTCTGAGGTCTAAAGGCCACCGAAAAATTTAGAATTCGACAGTTATCCACAATATAGCTTTCTTTTTTATTTCGTAAAACTCATGTCTATTGTGAATGACAGTGATCTTTAAACAAATTGCCCAGTGATAATTGTTCTTTTGATTATTGTTATACGTGGTTCGGGGACCAGTAGCTCTATTATCGAGTTTGACCAATTCCAGTAACTTGTGTATCGATTGCGGAGGAAGATGAAGGTACTGGGCGTCCTTCTCCTTTGTGGATTTTTGGTTGTGTGTGTGAGTTCTAATACTAGTAATACCACTAATCGTGAGGATCAACCCACTACGATGTCCTCTGTTTCAGGTATGATGTGAATTTATTTATTATCAATCAAATTCAATTTTCGTTTCGTTTTTTTAATGATGCAAAACATAGTTTTTGAATGACACACTGAAAATAGTTCTATACAGATAATGTATATATATTAAAGGATGTCAATTTTAGCTTTTCTTTTTCAATATATATATATTGTTCATATATCTTTTATCAGAAAAAATTTAACGGATCTTCGAAGACTAAGAAAATTCTACACTTAGATACGTCCATCCTTTTTTTTAAGCAAACACTTCTTTTCATTTGGTTAGTAAAAGCAAGAGGAGGTTTAAGTTCCCTGTCAAAATTCGAAAGTGCAGCACAAAAAGCTTAATTATTTTTACATGAATTCAATAGAGTTGAAAAAGCAAAGGCTATTGCGAACTTCTTGTCAAGGAAATAGGTTAACGAGACAGTCTCAAAATAGATGTGTGCAGTTGTGGGATCGATATTCAAATAACTACATTCCTAGGCGAATACATGTGCAATATTTGATGAGACAGGTCTCTTTGCTTCTGGAATGCAGTCGAAACTCATTTAAAATTTATTTGTTATGACTTTTATTATTTCACCAATCTTTCCCCCAAGTTTTCTTGAGGGGAATAGTAACCTGTTTTAATACTGTTGACAGTTGTACAGAGTGTTATTTTATAACTCATACAGTATGCATTAAATTTAGCTGTAAGTTTATTTAACCCTGGCCTTGGGGTGTGTTATTCTTTCAGTGTTTCATTTTGCCAATTTGCACATTTGCTGTAAACGTTGTCAACCCCCTGTGTTTAAAATGGAATGTTTGAGTAAAAATCCTTCCATAAATTATTTAATTTTTTATTATATATTATGTAAAATGTGAAAAGTACCATTCAGTATATAAACAGGAATTTGATTAACAGTTAGTATAAGAGAGTTATTTTAAATCATTTGATGATTATAGATGTACATGTAAATAGTGTTGTTAATTTTGAGTTGTACGTCAGCTCTGGAACATGTAAAGGACTTGTCATGGAAACACTAAAGTTCATTCATATTTTTTTTACAGATCCCACAACTGTTCCTTCCGGCACGACTCCTACTAGTAGTTCGCCACAGATGGTTCTACAATCTGGCCTCGTTTTTATTACGTTATTGCCATTAGCCCTCGTTCTAAGTAGGATATAACGTTGACATTATCAAAACACAAGGCAATCATGTTTTACAATTAATGTATTATATTCAATATCTATCTCCAATGCTCAGTTATTATTATGTTTTGAATGGAGTGTTCAATTTTGTTAGTTTTTACTACTTTTTAAGCATTTAATAATTCTACTTTGCATTATATATCAATTAATATCTTATGTATGATTTGTATACTCATATTAGAATTTATTAAAAAGCAATTTTGTGAAAACACATTCTGATTATACACCCAAGTACTCTGAAGTTTATATTAAAATGATGCTCGTGAAAATGTCTTTATGTAAGGAGATCTTCTAACAATATTTTTAGCTTCTCATGGATGTTGATTGCGTCCCTTTGTTTGCAGTCCTTTTTAAGATATTTATATGGAGCAGAATTTATTCTGGGGGAAGAAGAGAGAAAAAACTGGTATAGCCATTGACTTGTCATTTAGATCTATCGACGACAATACCTTTCTCCATTCTTATGTCGAAACGATACCAGTAATTAAAGATTCCATAGAGTCTGCTACATCTGTTTCATACTTAGGATACCTAACTAGCAAAAAAGACATTGATGGTAAGCTAACAACAAAGCTTTGCGATAAATATGAGACTTTTCAATCGTCAGCTCTTTTAAATAAGTAGCAATATTCCCTCATAACCTGCGTAATGTGTTTATATATCTCAGCTGACAACGCAACAACATGCTATAACAGTTTTTAAAGAAGGCATGTTCTTGACAAACAAATCAATCAGAAAGTATAACAGACCTCTTGTTTAAAGTCATCATTTCGAAGTTATATAATCGATACAATGACCTTTTCAGTAATAAAGTCTATCCTCTAGTCACATTATGACGTGGCGCGAGTGGCGCAGTGTTTAGAACGTCTGTTCTAGAGTAGCAAAGTAAGGAGTTGATCCTTGCATCGCGGTTTTGAATCCCACTGTAGGACGTGGAGACCGGTCCTTCGGGCGAGACTGTAAAAACCGAGGTCCTTTGTCACAGTAGTTTCTTGCACGATAATCCCTTCCTGCTCAAAGGCCATGAGTGCTAAGCATAGGACAAAATTTACAGCTTTCCACCGGCAAGTGATGACGCCTCCATATTAGTGAATAACTCAATAAGAGGGACGTTAAAAAACATAAAAACAAATAAACAAACAAATAATGACGTTTTTTTCTCAAATTGACTGTTAAGCCAGTTTTACATATGACAAGGAGCACAACGTGGGTTAGATTGGAGCCTCCATGGAACATGATCCCAACCCTGATGCATCCTTCAGAAGTCTATGTTAACTCTGCTCTTCATTTTTTTGTATTGTTTGAATTGACTTTTGAGTATTCCGACTGTTATTTCTATTTCATTTATAATGAATGGACGAGCTTCTGTTTACTGTAAGCGTTAGTTTTGATTTTTGCTGATGACATTGCAGAAACACGTTGTCCTTCGACTTTATCCTCCAAATAAAAATCATCATTTAACCTCTTAATCTCCTTGTTCTTTTTATGATGTTATGAATGTTTATTTTATAAGAAAAGCATTACGAATTATATTTTTTATTGCTTAAAATCTGAATGCATGTATAATAACAAGGAAATATTCTGGAAGGGAGAGCCATGCAAACAAAATGTCGTATTGAAATAAAAAGCATAACAATCAGGAAACATTTAACAATTTGATGTGGTCCTACACTTTAAAGGAAAATCTGAATAACTTACATTTTCTCAATGTAAATCTTGAATTGATAATTTTATCTATCTTAACCGAGGGAGAAATATTTTTAATTTTAAATCTGGACTACCAATGTAGTCTTTCCTATTAAAATGGGTTTTTTTATTTAGCCAATGAATCTTTTGTTAAACTAGGTTTACGAAGATTTGTTTGTTAATCTCTTTAATAAAAATGTCGAAAAGTTGATTTATATCATTTAAGACCTCGTAAATCCTCATGGTTATATAATTCATTTAGATTACCAATGCAGCTTTTAGTTCATGGTGAATATTTATGATCGGTTGTCGATTTTAGACATAGATATTTAACATGATATATAAATATGCCTATAACCTCCTTGAAATTTGTTAAAAAATGAATGATTTCCAGGTAGAGAAGGGGTCCTTCCAACAAAATTCACTGAACTGAGCTCCTATTGAAATACCATTTATGTCAAACTTTATTTTATAGCGTGCAATAATAAAACGTTTGTTTATATATATCAAGTATTTGAATCTGTTTTTGATAGTGTAAAAATAACATCAGATACACCAATTTTAACTTTAACAAGGTTACCTAAAGGAAATAAATTGCGTATTACAATATTGGTTTTATTCATAGTCACTCTCACAACGATCCTTGGTATACTGCGCGATGGACTATCTGGAAAACTATTAAATATGTCAAATTCAAATAAAATCATCTTGCTGGTAAATGATTCAAGAGGCAAATCCTGAACAAAAAACCATGCAGCTTTGTACACAGTGCTCAAACATTTTCACTAAGTCCATTTTATCCAGGCAGGAAAACATTTAAGATAAGATAAGCAAATGACAGATTGAAGAATAATCACGAACACTTATGAAAACGTCATTTACTGAACAATTCTATAATAACTAGATGAGATCTCGTTGCGAGCAACGAGTAGGTCTTCCGTCCGATTTTTGATAAGATATGATTTTGACTATGATCTTTGTTAGATCATAATGATATCAAGACTTCTCTCCTTTGAATAAATTCTTTTACATTCTATGAAATTATTTAAAAAATGTAGTAATGGATGAAAGTCTTTTGGCCCCTAAGGGCCCCTTATTTGAGGGGTCATACCCTTTCTTCCTATCCAATGATATTTTTTTTCATTTAATGATTTTTTTGTTCAACAACTATCAAGACAGTTCTTTTCGAGCTATGTAGCATAGACAAATTTAGGGGCCAGCCCTTTTATCCTTAATGGGATATTTTAGCATATATAGAATGGTTGTATAATGTTTAAAAGACGACTCTGAGCATCTTTTATTCGATACCGCTTATCAAAATATTTCCCCTTTTAGAGATATAAAGAATCTAAGATTGAGCATTTTGGCTTCTTAGAGCCCCTAATTACGTAACATATTATCCAAATTTTACAATGCATTGATGCAGATTGTTATGATAAACATTTTTGCTTCAGTTATTTATAACAAAAAATTGATGAATAAAGAGTTATAAATAAAAGTCTTTTGGTCCCTCTTTGCCCTTCATTTGAGAGGTAACACACCTTTTCTTCAAATCAATTTAACGAAAATATGATTCGGCACAACTTTTATTATATATCTTTTAACAAATTATTGACAGGTATAAAGATATCAGAGAAAACGTGTTAAATTTTGCGAGAGATGTCCGAGCCTATTTTTCAGCTCAGGCAAGCTTCATGGCCTTTTGTGTTAGAAAGATATTGACTCAAAAAAGCAATTTAACAATCCTTCCTCTACCTTCACTGAAAATCTCAAGTCAATATCTTCATTCGTTTTTTAGTGATTGCACGGACAAGCTGACCCTCTGAAAATCAGTAAATCGTCCATATCTCACGACCGGAAGTAACGAAAATCGAGCCCTTTCCGAGAACTCGCGTGCACAAAAATCGGTAAGAAAAAAAAAGAATAGGGAAAAAGAAACCGAACGAAAACAATAAGGTCTTCCGTTGGAAACGGAAGACCTTAATTAAACAATATCAGTTGTAAACACAAAGAGCACGGAAAATACGTATCTCAGAAGGACGTGTTGAGCTCCCATGAAGAAGTAAGCATGCCCTATCTCATGTATCTATCGCCCTACTCCGTCCCGATACACAAAGGATCCTTAAGCAATGTAGTTTTTAATATTTTTTTAAAAAATCGAATCGATAAAACCAGTAATATACAAAGAGCATATTATATTTGCAGACTGTTTCTAAATAGAGGAATGGTATCAACGCTCAAAATGATGATACAAATGTTAAACAATGACACAGAACAATAATCTTTTTTTCCTATTTCATCAAAAAGAACTCATTAAACCTTATGTACCAGATGACTTATGCATTACCATCGTTAACTTTCTTTCTAATTTCATAGCACCCCCCGGTAGCTGCACCTTCTAAAATATTCCATACTTAAAACACAGGTTACAAAAACGACCAGTTTTAAAGATCAGTCAATGTTATATGGATTTAGTACATTCATGCACCTTGTTTGCAAATACACGTAAATCCTTTCATTTTGTCATTTCAAATGGTGGGTTTACAACCCGCGACTTAAGGATCAAGTCCTTACACCTCTACGGCGGATGCTCTAACAACCGCGCCACACTGGTGACCGATTTGTGTTGTTTGAATAGAATTTTTTTATCGTTTCAGCCTTTTAAAAAAAACTAAAACATTATGATACATTCTAATGATACGTGATATTTCCTAACTATGCCATTATACTCTATAATTTTTGACATTCTGACTTTGATAATAATTATTTGGACAATATAGCAATTAATTCCGTACTCATGTGTGATTATAAGGTTGCAGTATGTACAAATCTCAATACTGACATGTCTTTTTTTCAGTCAGAGAAAAGTATCAAAGAAATGGTTGAATAAGAATCAAATGAAGTTTTGATAGTACCCGTTTCTTAAATGGAAATTGTGATATAAGGAATTGCATTAACATACATGCAAATGTAAAAAATAAAAAAGAAAACAAATGCATACGTATATGTATGCTTGATTTTACTTTTGAAAACTAAAAATATTTATTTAAAAACAAAATCTGTTTTCAAAATATATCATTCGTGAGATTAAGACAAATGAATTTTAAAACACAAACTATTCTAAAAGGTTTCACTCTTAGAGAACATTCTAAAGTAAAAAATATTTATAATGTAAATCATTTCATTTCAAATTAATTTTTTTTTTTCAGACAAACTGCATTATTTCTGTCTATGCAAATAAAATCTCAAGCTTTAATAATGTAAAAGATAACAACTATGGCATTTGTATAAGTTTTTGCAGAAAACTCCTATAAATTATACATTCCTACGAATCGAATTTGATAATAATATTTTCAAGAGGTTAAATAAAATTTAAAAATATTGTCGAAAAGAAAAATTTTGAATTTGTAATTTTTCTTTTGTTTGATCAATTATTCATCTTTAAAATAAAATTGTTTAGGGCAAAAACTCTCATTTAGCAATTCCCTTCAATGTACTTATAAAGTAAAAAAAATATTCAAGGAATGAAGTTTATTTCAACTTTTTTTATACGATATAACATAATTTGGGGCAGTTTACTTTATAAA